CGCGCCGTGCGCACCGCCGCGGCGACATCGAGAACTAGCGAAGTCAAAGTCGAGCGCATCCTTGTCGTGATGGGTGTGATGGTCGCCACGCTGATGATCATCAACGCCGATATGACTAATCACGACCAGGCGACGTATGTACGCGAGACAGCGGCACGTGCCTCCGATAAAACAAATTGATTGATGTGATAGTATTTGTACAGTTACAGTGTAAAATAATATAGTAAACATGAAGTGGAAATGAAATGTTTTTCTAGACACTGGGTGAAGTTTGCGCATGCGCGTTAGGTATATGAAATATGACATGCAAGTCAAAGCAGATGCTGTTATTGCTGTTGGTGTCAACGCCTCACGCTAGACCGTATGTCATTTCTCGCGCATGCGCAAACTCACATGTATTCGTAACCTTACGTTTCCCAGTTGTATGCGCACAAAGTTATAAAATACAAAAAATGTATATAATATACTATGAGACACTTCGCTTTGATTTAGTTTTATTTTTCATTTATGACGAGATCTTTTCTTGCTACTAGTAATATTTTTTTGTTTTGCATTAGCTTATCTATACACAATGCTATTAGATATCTGTTTAGTTTTAAATGTTTTTCTGTTTGCGCATCATTCGTTCCCTCTGATATTTGACAAAAATGAAAATAGAATTAATCGATAAAAAATGTAAATATAATCTTATACAATTATATAATTAATATAATAATATTTTATATCACTTTTGTTCCCACAATTTCCATCGCTCGCTCTGGGCGTGTCTCTGTGTGTTTGTATGTGTATGTACTCTCGTAACAAATTTCGCCAACAAATCGGATGCGCGCGCGCTCGCTAATAAATAATATCGTGAAAGTAAATGTATATATAATATATAATATATATGAATTAAATAAATATGTGCCTTGATTCTGTCGCATCGTTCTCTCTGGTTGGTTGGTTGGTTAGTATATACAAGTGTTAGCGTGTGTTGTGTGTGTGTGTGTGTGTGTGGTGGGTGGATTAGCTGGGCCGCGACGGCGTGCTGACGACAACTAGCGGCTTGACGACGTACTGCGCGTTGACAATCACCTTGGCATCGGCGGCGGCGTGATGATGATGATGGTGGTGGTGCGCCGAGACGAACTGCGCCGTCAGCTGCTGATGCTGGTGCGGATCGAGCGTCTTCGGCACGAGCACCAGACTGCCGTTGCCCGCCGCGAGCGGATAGCCGGCGAAGGTGATGGCGCCGCCCTCCTGCAATACGGCGCGACAACACACCCAACACAGAGAGAGAGCATTAGAACATCACGCGCAGGCAGACGCGCGCGCGGTTGCTTACGCTTACGTCCTTCCCGGCCGTTGCCGCCGCCGCGGTAATACTTTTCGGTAGCTTCAGCACATTGCCGACCATCGTGGCGGTGGTGGCTGCAGCAGCAGTAGCAGCAGCAGGCGCGACAGTTGTTGTCGTGCCGGCGGTGAGCGGTGTCGCTGCTTCCGACACGCGGTCAACCACCGTGGTAGGTGATGCAACTGCCACCACTGCCTGTGGCGCTGTCGTCGTTAATGTTGTTGACACATTGGTTGTGGTCACCGCGTCACGTTTCTCCTTTCTGCGCTTGCGCATGTTCTCTTCGGGTGCATCCGGCACGTCAACGTTAAACAGAGATTTAATCTCCTTCTATTAACACAAAACAATAAATATTATACATTTATACTATATAAAAATAATAAAAAAATAAAATGACTAACCCTCAGGTTGCTGTAGCGCTGCTTCAACCTAATCTTCTCCTTGGCGAGCTGCTCGAGAAGCTGTTCATGATCCGCTTCTTCAGTTTTCAACACGCCGATATATTTGAGCGCAGAATCGAGAATCTGCAAGTTACTTGTCTTCTTCGCGGCGGCATCACGCGCATTCGGCAGGATTGAGTTGAGCTCCTCGAAACAATCCTTGAGATGCGCGCGCCGATTCTTCTCGAGTTTATTGTGTACTTCGCGCGTGCCGGTGCGAAACGCCATCGGCGGCTGCTTGCGCTTCACTTCACCTGAGCCCTGATCAATTACCGCCGGATTGATCAAGTCAAAGCTGTTCATCACCGCTAGGCGATTGACGCCCGGCGCCGCCGCCACATTAACTACATCTGTAAATAAATAAATTAATTAATATATAATGTGAGATATGATGTTTTATACCTTTCTTGTGATGAATACGAATAGTATTAACCGGCTGAGCAGTGATGATGTGCCCATTGGCAGGCGCATGCTGAATAGTCACATGCTGTATCGGCGCAAGCGCCGGTTGCAGCACCTGATGCAACACAACGGCCGGCGGTGTCTGAACATGCGACAGTGGCGCCGCCGTCGGTTGAAGCACAGCGGCGGGCACCACCGGCGTCGTGGTCGACTGTTGCTGCTGCTGCGGAGACGCAAGCAGCTTATGCTCGTGCTCCTCGATGAAGTTGGCGGCGGCAATCAGCGTGTCGAGCTTCGACATCTTCGGCATCGTTAACGCGCTAGTACCTATTATCCGCGCATGCGCAAAAAAAAACAAAAATAGATTAGATTAGAATTGCATGATGTGTGTGTTGCGGCGCACGTGCGCGTGGATGCGCGTTTGTTTTGTTTCGCGTTCGTGCCGCGCCCCACGAGTCCACGTGGCAGTGGCACACAGTCTGCGCGCCGGCCGGGCGAGCGAGCGCGTTGCGTCTGCGACGTTTCAAAACACAGAGCGGCGCGCGGCCAGAGCACGTGGTCCGCGTCGATACGGGCGAGAATCGCACGCGCATACACATCTCGCCGTGTAGCGATTTTGCCGGCCACCTGGCTGCTGCTGCTGGCTGCGCCGGTGACTAGCGCCTACGCGCTGTGCTACTACCATCAGCGAGCAGCGCGTACTTTCACTCGCGATTCGCGAAATACAAAAAAATACAGAAACAGAACAGCGGCGCGATAGTAAAACACACAACTTACGCTGCTACGTGTCCAATTCGAATTGATCGCCGGCGCAGTGCGTGTGCTGCGGCTGCCATTTTATCGCAAAACTAGTAGATTAACAAAACAAGATGATGTGTTTTTTTCTCTGCTGGTTGCGTTGGATGTTTCCGCGCGCTTCTTTGTCGTTGTGACGTTGTTGTTGCGTGGCGCGTAACTACGCCGAACAAAGAAGCGGCGAGGGGCGCGCCGCCGGCACCACGCACGTCGCACACACCAAAACAACAAAGCAGCAGCGCGGCGCAATCGACTGTTGATTCGCAGCGTGCGCGCCGGTGGCGGCTCCGCTGTTTCGCATCACCACGAGACGACGCGAAGGCGCAAAATATCGGACAACACACCAAGGAGGAAATGCAATCCGCCTGCTGGTGGTGCTGCGCTGCCCGACTGGCTGCGACGTGTGCGCGCCGCCGTACCCGGCCGTCACGTGTTCCGATCGCGGCTGCACGCTGCTCTATCGACCAATGGGTGCGCGACGGCGTGCCGCGTCGAGCGGACGGCGTACGGTGCGGCAGCGCGCAACACGCGAACGCCCGACCCGACGACGACGCGAGCGCGACCGCGAACCGACCGACCCGTAAGCGCACACAACCTGTCTATACGCCGCTGTATGTATGGATGCATATGTATGCGTGACCGGCTCGCACAAAGCCACCAGCAACAGCAGCTATGCACAACGACCGGGCACCACACACACACACACACAGATACACAATTTCGTACGCGTACAACACGTACGCCACCCTAAACAATCACGTGCAGTGCGCACTGGCACTTGTTTGCGTTGTTAGCAATAAAGATAAAAGCAATGTGTGTGTGTGTCTCTACTCACACATC